ACCGCCGCCTTGGAGCGATCAAGAAAATTGACAAGAAGGCGTTTGAAGTATTTATCAGTTATTTTATTGTTTATGGTCTTATTTTCGCGTTATGTTTGTTTACGTTGCTCTGTTTTTCATTGATGTCTTTAATTTCAGGTCTAAAATATGTTATATCTATCTACAATATTATGCATGCAAATGAAATAACAATTAAATAATTAAGGGAAAACGTAAGATTACGTGTAACCGAGCCCTACGTAAACGTTATTTCCTTAAGACGCTTTTGCCCGACACACGTAGCAAGTGTCCCCCCCAGGATAGAACGGTTCTTCGTTCCCAACGGGATCCCGGTGAACTCAAAGACTCAACGAAGTAAGACATAATATGGATGAATTGTTTGTGTATTTTTGGATTTCCAAAATATGAGATCAATTGGGTATTATTGAGCTCTGGTCAGGAGTCTCTAACCCAAAAGACATCTCTTAAAAGAAAGTTCATGGCCTTTCTTTTAAAACGAATAGTGGTGTCTTTTCTATTTGGTTTTATCCAAAAATAGGAATAAGAAACGTACCAAAAAATATAATCTCAAGCCTTAGACACATGGATTGTTAAACACTGAAGTTGACCAGTCAAAGACCGGAACCCGAACTCGACCGGCCGGATGGCGGTTGCACGCGTGTGAAGATTTAATTCCATGCTTACCGTATACGGGTCTCACCGCACAACAAAACTTCAGTGCCCCAAGGGCCCAACCCAATACCTAATGAAAGCTTATATAAAGGCACTTTCTTAACTCTCCATTTTCGGTGTGGGACAAAGTCCTTTTCCAAATTGGGTTTTAGGCAAGTTCGGGGAACAATTTCTTCCAAATTGGTTTTTAGGCAAGTTCGGGGAACAATTTCTTATTAATGTCTATCTAAATGATTTGCACATTCTAATATATGGTTGCATTCACCTTTTGGAGGACTATATGATAGGACTTAGTCCTACCACAAACTAATTGTGTATCCTTTATTTATTTTAGCTCAAAGGTGACCATTATATCAAAGTAAACCATTTTTTCCAACAAATAATGATAGACAGTTCTAAGGTAGTTATTGTGTCATTAGAAGAATCTATATGACCGGTGATTGCTATGTCACATCCGTTTGGTGGTTATCAATTCATATTGTTCTTTGAGGGGTGATTGTTTCTAAGTCTAGTCGTAGTGTTGATAGTGCGAGTTAGTTATAGATAGTTGTTGTCAGTGTTGGTGTCTTTGAGTTTGTTGTAACGATCTGAATCATAATAATATTAATATAAGCTGTTTTTACTTTCAAAAAATATTTAAAAAAGATTAGGAAAAATAGTGGAGGTAATAATTAGGGTATAAAAATATGAAAAAGTGGAAAAAGATATGAAAAGATTAAGAGCTCGTTTGGTGACTATGTTTTTATCAAATAGGCAACTTTTGATTTCACGTGTAAAATTGTGTGATCTACAAAACCAATAAGGTTGAAGTTACTTTTCTAAATGAATTGATTGAATTTATTGAATAAGACTATTTTGATTAAATTTTCATATATTTTTGCCTTTATTTTATCAATGAAATACTTCCTCCGTTCTTAAATAAATGCAATGGTCAACATTTCACACTTACCAAACCACAACTTTGACCATTAATATATATAATTTTCTATTAGTAAAAAAATTTAAAAAATTAGATTTTGAAAATTTACGATTAGACAAATTTAACAATATTTTTTTCAAAAATATATATTGATTCATGAATAAATAAACCTAGTCAAAGTAGAACATGTGAATAGTGTAAAATTCAACATGTTGCATTTATTTAATAACGGGGTAGTATGTTTTAATATTCAGTCGATTCAACGGTTTAAGCAATAATTTAGATAATAGATTCAATCGATTCAGTCAATTTCAGTGTTACTAAACATTCTCTAAAAGAATGTGTTAATTTTGTAGGCAAGGTTTGTAATATATTGGGACAGAAGAGGGTGACACGGTTATTAAGAAAAGTGAGTTTATGTGGTTGATATTAATTGATAAAGTAAGAATAAATAAGAATGATTTAGAGCCACACAAACTTTGCCAAATATGGTATGAGACAATTTAAGTGGGACTTCCCAAAAAGGTAAAATGGGACAATATAAATGGGACGGAGGGAGTATTATTTATACAAAATGGAGCAAAAATAAAAAAGTTATAGCCATTTAAAGGAAAAAGTGGTTTTTATAATTTGAGGGACCCATCTCCATGGTTGATGGTTACGCTTAGTACCGGTATGGCAGTATGTTGAGAACTTGAGATCATAGTAAAGTGGGGGCTTTGGTTTAAGTAGGGTAGCAGTAGTGTGGGAATTATTATTAACCCAACCTTACATTGGCAAATATTTATTTTATTAGCATTAATTAAGGAAAAAACTCGAATTATTCTTATATACTCCCTCCGCCCCCTTTTAAATGTACCGTTTTATCATATTGGGATGTCCTTATTTAATTGTCTCATAACTTATTTGGTAAAGTTTGCGTGGCTCAAAATCATTCTTACTTTATTCTTACTTTATCAATTAATATCAACCACACAAATCCACGTTTCTTAAAACTCGTGTCACTCTCTTCCGGGACGTTTAAAAGGGGACGGAGGGAGTACGTATTTTGACCCGTTATATCTAACAATATTTTTTTGTAGCGGGGAGTGAAATAGAACATGAAACCGTAAGCTCCCAAGCATCGAGAGGAGTAGAGGTAGAGATTCCGACCGTGTGCCTGTTCAAGAATGGGCCGGCGACTCACAGGTCATTGCTTATGAACCCGAATAACATTTAAACATTAAACTTAAGTATGTAATTTGTGATATTTCATTATTTGCAATGGAGCCAAATACTCACTATTTTTTTACTTGAAAATATGATAGAATAAAGCAAAATGATTCACTAGGCTGTCTGCTCTTCTTTTGTTATTAAGTTGCATTCAGTCCATGCAATTTTGGACGCGATTTTCACTATGGATCATCCGAAAACAATCTCTCTGTGCTTTAGTACATGGGTAAGACTTCATACATCCGACACCCTTACCCCACCGTAGGTGGGAGCCTTTGCGGCACTGAGGTAATGATGATGATGATGTAATTTGTGACATTTCATAAAAGAAAAATGTGACATTTCTGAGAGAAAACTCAAATAAGACATTTCCCTCATTTATTGATTTTTTATTACTCTCATTATTTTAAGTATTCTCTTAGTAATAAACCCAAATGTAATACATAGTACAAAATAGTTGATTTCCTTTCAATGCATGTATGCACGCCAAATAAAAGAAACCGCTGTGTCCATATTAATAATTTTTTTGTGATAACATTGAAATGAGTATTAATAATTCTATTTTAAATTTTTGAAAACATAATAAAATTGGATTACATTAATGATTCAACTGTGATGTAAATTGTTTTAATAAATCAGATAAAAAAAACTTAAACTAACCCAACAAAGAGTCGCATAACTTGAAAAGAATTGGCCAAATAAAAACAAATAAAGATTATAATTCATGTAACTCCCCAATTTCGCGGGGTTAAGGTAATAAACCTCAGAAGCACCATATTAGATGCAGTGATGCACTCAAGCTTTATAAGAAGATGCACTATATTAATATGTTTAAATAATCTCCTTAAAGTTTCTGTGAGGTATTACATTTCATTGTTGTTGGTCCGCGCATATATTCCATATATATCAAGTTTATTAAACTAATAAATAATAAAAAACCTATTTTTTAAGTGCTTATGTCTAAATAAAGTCTATAGATAATGTCTAAACTTATTCAATCAATTTAACTAGCTTAAAGAGATTATCAATTTAAAAGAATTATTGTAGAGAAATTGATATGCGTACGAAATTTAAAATTAGGCCTAGTACATCAGTCCTTTTTATAGTAAATTATTTCAGTTTTTACTATTTCATTTTGTATATTATTGTAATTAAACTCAATGGTTGATGCAGTTCAATGAGATGTATAGACAATTTACAGTACTACTCCCGTCCTCCATACAATAAAACTTAATTAAGTAATTTTGGTATTCAAATCCGACATCTGTGATAAAAGATTATCATACAAAAATGCACATGATCTCAACAAGTTTTTGAACTAAAGTCTCACTCGTTGTCTGTCAATTTATAATTAAAATCAAATTTACATCCCCAGTTAACTGTTCAGCCAGTGTGAGGGATCCTCAAAGATGAGTACCATTTTTTTAAAATAAAACTTAGTCATGTCGATTTTAAATTCTTGACAAATAATAATCGTGATATTGTTAGTTGGAAATTATTTAAAAATAAAAACATTCTATTAGAATTACTTTCATAAAAATATACGAAGTAAAATTTATAAATTTAGATATAATTACCTTAATTATTACAACTGTGCTATTTGTACACGCCGGGTTATACGTCGTTTTACACGTCCAAGTGTAATTGTCTATGCACATACAATTCATTTTAATTTCAGTAAAGGGAATTGTATGGAATATGTGCATAGACCATTCATTTTTTGGGAGTCACAAACATTCCGCTTACTAAGAGCATCTCCAATGATAAAGTGTTAACGGTGCATACGTGGCATGAGAAATAACCAATTAAAAAACAATAAATACAATATTTTTCTCCTTCTTTCCACGGTCTTATGTGTTTATGGTAAGTTTTTGTCTGCAATGTCAATCACAATGTCTACATCTAGACATTGTGCTTGACATTGTGAAGATAAACTTACCAAAATGATGTAAGATCCTTTAAATAAAGACAGAGATATTGTAATTATTATTTTTAATTGGTTATTTCTGATGCCACGTATGCACCGTTAACGTTTTGGCATTGGAGATGCTCTAAAATTAAAATCAATTGACCAACGTGTAAATCGACATATAATCGAGCATAACATTTTTCTAATTGTTATCCAGTGTGTATGCATATATGCCATCTGTCACTTGTATGCTTCAATCTCTCGAGTCTCGAGTGATAATAATTATTCGCGGTAATGAAGGCTTTTGAATTATGAGTCAATCGCAATTAATCCCTATTTAAGAAACGAGTGCTATACATTAAACTAAACAAAAATTAAACTAAACAAAAATAATGGCAAAGAATGAAAGAAACGTCGGTCTTACACCGGCAAGACCAAGTACCGTTGAGATTACGAAGTCGTCGAAGTTTGAAGACGCGGAGCAAGTGCAATTAATTAAAGCTAAATAAACAACTAATTATTAATATGATTGTCTTATCCCGCTAATCTCGCGAGCAGCCGTTTACTTATTTTCCTCACACGCGCCACCCCTTCCGCCGTGACCGGCGGAGCATTCTTCCCCTTCTTATGTGTCCGAACAACCAGCCGCAGTAACATTACTCCATACCATGTCTCCTCTTCTATTCCTTACTTTCTTCTCACTCTTTTCTTATTCTTCGTCTCTCTCGTACCCTTTCAGCCAGCTCTTTCCTCCTTCTACAAGTAAGTATCTGTTGAGTTCATATGCACTGGAATTTGTTTTTGAACTGCTGTAACTAACTAATTAACTGAATTGCTTTCCAGATTATAGTATACATATAGATTGTGGCGGTCACGCGAATTCCGTCGACGCCTTCAACACGACGTGGGTCGCCGACCGCTACTACACCGGCGGCGCCTCCTCCATTGTGTCGGAGCCGCTTATATTCCGGCACCAGCAGGAGAAGACCGTAAGATACTTTCCAATCTCCTCCGGGAAGAAGAATTGCTACGTCATCCCTGACATCTCCAACGGGAAGTACCTCCTCCGCACCTTTACTGTGTACGACAACTTCGACGGCAAGTCACAGCCTCCGTCTTTCGATGTTTCGGTTGAGGGTACATTGGTCTTTTCCTGGCGTTCCCCGTGGGACGAGTCCATTGCCCGGGCCGGAGCCTACTCGGATCTGTTCTTCCCTGTTTCGGATTCGGAGGCTGATATCTGTTTTTACAGTATTGCCACTGATTCGCCGGTCATTGCATCGCTTGAGCTGATTCAAGTCGATCCAGCTTCGTATTTAGTCAACGATACGGCAATTCAGTCATTGTTGAACACGTCTATATTGGTGAACTATGGTAGGTTCTCGAGCGGGTCTGAAAAATGGGGACACGGATTCAGCGATGATACTGATAGGTTCGGCCGGTCCTGGACTTCGGATGCGGATTTCCGGTCTCCTGCTACAGTGGGCACAAGTATTAAGGCGATTTCTGCGGTTAAAGCTATTGCAAATGCAGACAAACCTCCGAATTATTTCCCTTTGAAACTTTACCAAACAGCGGTAACAGTGGTGGGGGAAAGCAACATGTCCTTGGAGTACACTTTACAAGTAGATGCAAAGCTGGATTACTTGATATGCCTCCACTTTGCAGAGCTTGACCTAAGTATATACCGGAAAGGGCAGAGGGTGTTTGATGTGGAGGTCAATGGAGAGAATGTGACCAGAATGGATATCTATGACAGGGCTGGTGATTTTGCAGCCTACGATTGGTTCCATGTTGTCAAGAATTTGACTAATAGTACTCTGAGTGTGAAGCTTGTCTCTGTGGTGGGTGCGCCCATCATTTGTGGACTAGAAAATTATGCTATTGTGCCATCTGATCCTAAAACTGTTGCAGATCAAGGTATGCATGAAGTCATGAACAATATGCATGTGTTAAATTTTAGAAATTGCCATTCATAATTAAGTTACTTCTGATTACTGGTTTTCACCATATATGGGCGGAGTTGGCATATATTAATTGTTTAAAGAATGGATTAAAAAATGGTATAGGCTTATAGTGGTTCATCAAAGGTGTACTAATCATGGCGAAAGAAGACATCGTTCATTTGTTGAAGTGATACTAATATATCTTGGAAATAAACTCTTTTTTACTCACTCCATCCCCGAAAGATTGTCCTAGTTTGACTTCACCACACATATTAAGAAAATGAATTTACTTGAGGGGTAAATTTTACTCTAGAGTGCACTGTTCGACACTGTTTTGACACTATTTGACACTGTTGTGCACTGTTTGATATAAAATTGTTTACCAAACAAGGAAGTTAAAGAAGTAGGACATTCATTTAGGGAAAGTAGGACATTCTTTCGGGGACGGAGGGAGTATTTGATGCTATTCAAAATTCGCCCTAAATACAATTTTCCACTTTTATTCAGTTATTGCCATGAAAGCCTTGAAGGAGTCCCTCCGTATTCCTGACAGAATGGGTTGGAATGGTGACCCCTGTGCCCCTACTACATGGGATGCTTGGGAGGGTGTCACTTGTCATCAGACTAAAAATGAATCTACACTTGTGATATCCCAAATGTAAGTGATTCTTTTCTCTCAATAATGTAGATGTTAATATAATGTACTATCCATGGGACAGTATGGGATTAGTTCTAGTTTCATTCATTTGGTTTTCTTCTTACTACTCCCTCTGTCCCTTATAACTTTGCCAACTTTCCTTTTTGTCCGTCTCACTAACTTTGCCACTTCCCTTTCAAATGAAGAGTTTGTGGTTCTTGTTAATTCTCTCTCCTCTAATTCTCTCTCCTCTGCGCAATTCTCAATCACACAGTTTCTACTTTATTGTTCTACGTGCGTTTCAATTTTGGCAAAGTTATGAGAGATGGAGGGAGCATATAACATTTGTCTCGCAATTCTCGTGCCTGCTTTAACTCCAAATCCAAAATGATCATGTTGTGAGAGGTGTATGCAATGTGACTCCATTTCAGACCATTTGCATTTATATCTGACATTTAGTACGGACTAGGATACATAAACAAAATGCTAATATAATAGAACTTCTATTATATAACCCCACTAAATATTTATAGAAGGATACATTATTATGCGAGTAAACATACAAGCATGGACCTAAAGTGTCAAGCTTTTGAGAGAATATTTCCCATTTTCCCTAATCTGGACAAGTTACATGCACTAATAACTGTTATCGAGGAAGAACGTTTCTTGTCTAGTACTCCCTAAAAAGTTGTGTTCTTTATCCTTATCATCTCCCAAAGAGATGTTTGTACAGAAGGCAACATACTGTAGACATCCACTTTGTCAAGATTAGTAATTTGGTATATTTGAGTTAAATTGAAAACAATAATTTTTAATATTCCATGTCTATTGGAGCATGTAGTGTGGAGAGATGGATTTTGTTGTCTCTCGCTGGCACAAAAGTAGTGGAGCATTCTTAATGGGGCATTTAGTAATCTTCAATGGTCTCCTAAAACAACAGCCGAAAAGAGGAGCTTGAGGAAGACTTGATTGTCTAAAATCTACAAGTAACCAAGATAATTTGGGAGAGTAACCCCCCACCCTCACCCCAAGGCTTAGGCTATCTGGGCTCTGTAAAAAACTACTCATATATTATTGTTGTGAATGAAGTGTGGCAGTTGTTGCCTACAGAAGAGGCAGTGCTAGTGATGAGATTCTTTAAGTGAGCGATAGTTCTGCATAGAAGATAGTCTTTCTCTCTTTTGGGGTTTGGATGGGGTACATGAAAATCCTTGATTTTCTCTCTTCATCTTAGATGTCACTGCAGTGTTTGCATTCTTACAGAGAGCTTTTTGTTGCATTTTGAAGAATAATTAGGGTTCCTGATAGGGATTGTAGTAAAGAGTAGAAAGACTATACACTTACCCAGATGAATAATCAGAAAGACTATAGCGAAGCACCACAAGTGTTGTCAAACCCGGTTACCTAAGCGGTAGCATAGTGGCCAACCCTGAAACTCTATAGCAGCATAGCGGGATGACCACTATGCAAACAATTTATATATGCATAACAAAAGAGTATATTTATGCAATAATTACATGTGTTGCACATATCAAATAGAACAAATGTTAAGTATAGTAGTCAAAATCTCAGACCTGGTGACATTCATAATGCCTTGAACTAACCTATATGGGTTCTGGGGGCAACGCCTCCTTTTATGGTGTATATTATCTTTGGTCTAGGTTTTCTGTTTCGAGCTATTTGTAGTAGGGTGTAGTAGGCTTCTTTTTACGCATTTTAGAGGGTTTTACATTGCTATTTTTTTTCTCTAAAACCTACCTTACCTTTAATTACACCCAAATCCCCTTAATACTAACACAAAGCGATGTAAATTATAGCGGGCTGTGGCACCCACTATAGCCGTTAGGCCCCTTACTCATCCCATTATAGCGCCTGCCCGCTACTGGCTCTATAACCAAGCTCTGGTAAAGGCAATCTTATAGCTCCTAGCCCCCGCTCTGCTACGCTACGCCTCTAAGGCGCCATTATAGACTTATAGTGCGCTATTGATATATGTGTGCAAATGTAGATTACCTTTCCACTTTTACATCATTTTTTTTTACTCCAAGGGGGTCTGGGGGAGGGGGCTGGGGGGAGCCTGGAGTAATCAGGGCTGAAACTCACTCCATTGAGTTTCCACTTTTACATCATTTACAAATTAAAACTATTAACTAAGTAATACAGATTAATAAGTAACTACTAAATAATGCCGAAAATGTTATATAATTATTGTAATTATAATTCTTTCTATATTTCATTTTTCAAGACTTGGGCAGGGGTAGTTTTCTCATTAGTTTGTTATGGTTAGGGTGCTGTTTAACGCATCTACTTATTTGGAGTGGTATGGCTGAGGGCTTTTGGTTTTTCTGAATGGTCGTTAGACTGTTGAATAATGACATGATGTGATCATGACATGGTGTGAAAATGTTTTGCTTAAAAAAGAAAAGGGGGGGGGGGGAGTTTTCTCAATATAAGCTACTAATTGAAACAGAATAATATATAATTACTAATTTTACCACACTTATTACGCACACAAGCAACGCTAAGGTCCATACTTCTGACCGAACATGGCCTACAACACTTATCATATCAAAGCATGTTTTTGTTTGACTTTTATACAAACAAGAAATGTGATCGGTGACAAGGGTATGAGGCCTAGTTGGCAAAAAGTTCCTGTTTGAAATAGCTTGTTGCTCCAACCAAAGTTTAACCCATCCCGGCATTACACTAAGGGCATTACCTAAGTAGTTGTGTTCCTCACATTAAAAAGTACTATCATGGATTGGTGAAATCTTCAAATAGACTTTGTCCACTCATGCATGAAGGAGCTGGGTCAAATTTGTGTGTTGGTGAATACATTGTTCGTACACTATCTAGTGGTCACTAGCTTTATGAATTCAACTAAGTTTTGTGATCATATCTGCGGAAACTCAATCAGGATGCCTTTTGTTTAGATTATTGGATTATGTTTTTACCAGAAAGGCAGAATCACCTTCTGTTGACATAAATATTTGCTTTCAATCTTCTGAACGATCTCAACATCCTTCTAATGCTTGATTTATTTTCTCAGAGATCTTGGAAGTCAAGGCTTGAAGGGTTATATCAGTGAAAAAATTAGTCTTCTGACTAATTTGGTAAGCCTGTAAGTATCAATTGTCAATTTATACTAAGAAAATGTTCCACTTTGTTCGCACAACTATTAGGCCATTTTCACTTTTGGTGCACCACTATGTTTTTCTTGCCATTGTAGTTCATTTTGAGTTATGGTCACTTATGTGGCTGATTCCTGTAAAAAAAGATTTATTTTTCACCGGCTTAGTGATCAAATGCACCAAAATATGGCTAGAAATCTATAGTTGTGTACCAAAGTGAAAAAATGAAAGCTGGAGATCTGAACTTCAAATGACATAATAGTAGTAGGACCAAAGGTAGAATCACTTTGTATACTAATACCGTTGCTTTGACCTATTTCAATTGAGAGAGAGGGATTAAATCCCTAGGTGAAAAGTAGCTCATGTTCCCTTGTGTATGTTCCGGGTGAATTAGCAGATAGCGTGTATGTTCATTCTTGAAGAGAATTAGGAATTACTTGGGCAACAATTATTAGCGAGTATTATATAAACTTATAACCTACTGTGACACCTCACTTGTTTATGTTTGAACCATTTTGGGGATTTCTCCACCTAATCAGATTGGTTCATTCCTGATCTAGAGGGTTTCTTTTCTTTAAAGATGTTTTCTATTCACATTGCTTCTGTATTGATCCGAACTCACACCTTTGTAATGTGCAGGAATTTAAGTTCTAATTCATTGGAGGGTACTCTGCCCTGGGGTATTGGCCAAAAATCTCTTGTGAAGCTGTAAGATAACACGCTATTTTCTTGGTGCTTTTCTTTATAATGTTTCCTTCTACTTTGCAAGAACTTCTCAGAGCATTCTCACATATTTTCCTTGCGCTTTATTGTTGTAGTGGATGAAGTCTCATACTCTTCAAATTATGGCATAGATTGGTTGTTAGAGAACATTCCTGTATTAAACTGATAGGAACCTGGGCCTAATAGACTAATACTAATAATAAGGGACTGGGCCTATTAGAGTATTAATAATAATAAGTGTATTAGCTGAGTATAAATAGAAGAGGGCCAGGAAGGGTTGAGTTGGCGGTGTTAGACTTCATTTGGGACTTGGGAAGATCGAGAGCTAATCTCTTTTTTTGGGGGGGCTTCGGCTCATTGGGGGCTTCGGCCATACTCTTCCTTCTATTTCTGTAATTGTTCCCCTTCATCAATAAAAATTCTTCTGTTTCTTGTTAATTTCTCTGTTAAGTGTCTGGATGGCTGGAGATCTCTATCATTGGTATCAGAGCCTGGCGTTCGCTGGATGAGATACACGCGCGCCAAAATGGAAGCCAGAATGAATGAGGTGGAACGAAGCATGGTGGATATTGGAAGAAACCAAAGAGAATTGAACGATCAACTGGATCGGAGGATGAGAGAATTGCAGAGTATTATGGCGGATCAGCTGGTTGAGAAAATGGCCTCGTTCCAGACATCGATGCAGGCGACGTTGCAAGCGAATCTGGCGGGATTCCAGAAAAACAACTCGAGCCGATCGCAAAGCCACTCGCATCGATCACATACCTCTCATCGATCGACTACTATGCATCGCGAGAAACAGCATCGAAGGTCTAAGGACGAAGGCAGTTCCGATGGATCAAGTAGTTCGGCTGGTCAATCATCGTCACTCCACAGACGCGATCCCCGACGAAGGCAACAACATCATCAGCACACTGGAAGAAAAGTTGAATTGCCAATATTCAATGGCGATGATGCAGGAGGATGGTTACTAAGAATGAATCGTTATTTCCGACTGAATAACACTGAAGAAGAGGATAAGATTGACGTTGCAGTTGTGGCCATGGAAGACCAGGCCTTAAGCTGGTTTCAATGGTGGGAAGGGCAAGCACATCGTCAAACCTGGGAATCATTTACAGCTGCGTTGACCAAACGTTTCCAACCAAACTTGGTGCAAGATCCTTTAGGACCTTTACTCAGTCTGAAACAAAAGGGGAGCGTGAAAGAATATAGAGATAAATTCGAGACAACCATTGCTTCTCAGGGACACTTGACTGAAGAAGTATTGAAGGGAGTATTTATAAAAGGGTTGAAAAGGGATATAAGGGCGGAATTGAAACTACATACTACTAGAACCCTAGCTGCTGTCATGGACACAGCTTCTCTGATTGAAAACAAGAACCATGAAGTCTGTATTAGGAAGAACAAAGATGAAGAGAAGATGAAATGGCAGGGTAAGAGTCAGCCTCATAAAGAGGGAGATGGAAATACATGGAGGAACAAACCTATCAACTCTGTTAGTTTGGGCAAAGCTACAGTTGATGACAAGATAAATTCTGAAGTGCAAGAGCAGAACATGATAAGGAATGGCCCCAGATTATCCCAAGAACTATTGAACAGAAGCAAGAAGGGGCTCTGTTTCAAATGTGGGGAAAATTGGAACCGAGGTCACATCTGCAAAATGAAACACTACAAAATTGTTCTTGTGGAAAATTCTGAAGGAGAAGAAGAAGTTGACTCTGTCAGGAAGAATACCAAGGAGGAAGAGGGAATTGAAATGGAATTCAGAACTATGCAATTGTCCTCAATGAGTAAGAAGGAGATTCCAAGCATAAAAACCTTCAAAATGAGAGGAATTTTGAAGTGGAAATCTGGAGAACAGGAGGTTGAAATCCTTATAGATAATGGTGCAACACATAACTTCATTTCTCGAGAGTTAGTGAGAAAATGTGAGTTACCCAGCCATATGATAAGGGGATACTCTGTGCAGATGGGGAATGGAGAATGTATTCCAAACTGTGGCAGATGTGCAGGCCTGGATCTGAATGTACAAGGAATTGGGATTCATCAAACATATTATCTACTGGAGTTGGGGGACACTGATTTAGTCTTGGGAATGGACTGGCTAGCAAGCTTGGGGGACATAGAGATTAATTTCCAAAGTCAGACCTTCAAATGGGAGGTACAGGGGCAGAAAGTTATTTTACAAGGAGATCTCTCATCAAGTCAACCGGGAGCTTACAAGGAAATAAAAAGCCTAATAAATATGAATGGAGAAGGAAAATGGCTGAACTATCAAGGATTATCAAAGGAGATTGAAGGAGAAAGTGTTCAAAAGCATGAATTGGTGGTCCCCTCTGTTGCAACAAACTGCACCTTGGTTTACACAGAATCTGCAGGAGTCAAAGTTTTGGACAAAAGGTCCTGGCAGCGGTGTAACTCTGTTTTGAAAGGCATAGGGAAGAAGATGGAAGCAACCAAGCTACGGATCCAGAAATCCATCCAGTATTGGAAAGGGAGAGGGGCTAGGATGAAAGAAAAGAGGAAGATTGTGGCTGTGTCCTATCAACCACCTTGAGGGCAAGGTGGATGTTAGGGGGGGAGTAATGATAGGAACCTGGGCCTAATAGACTAATACTAATAATAAGGGACTGGGCCTATTAGAGTATTAATAATAATAAGTGTATTAGCTGAGTATAAATAGAAAAGGGCCAGGAAGGGTTGAGGAGGCAGTTTTAGACTTCATTTGGGACTTGGGAAGATCGAGAGCTAATCTCTTTCTTTTGGGGGGCTTCGGCTCATTGGGGGCTTCGGCCATACTCTTCCTTCTATTTCTGTAATTGTTCCCCTTCATCAATAAAAATTCTTCTGTTTCTTGTTAATTTCTCTGTTAAGTGTCTGGATTGCTGGAGATCTCTATCATAAACTCACTAAAATGCTTTGATCGAGATTTAATGCAATAGATCATTCAATTAGTTAATGAATAATTGTTTCACCACGACCAATAAGACACTTCCATGTAGCCTTGGTGCCCGTCTAAACTTTCTAACTCTGGCATTTCTCATCCGGCCCTTCCTCAAACCATGTAATCATGGACATACGCTTGGGCAAACTGGATGTCATACTGGTTCTGCAAACACCACATGTGACCACCACCCTCAAACACCTTTTCGGAAGATGGTCAGCCGTTGGAAGATTGCTAGTGCAATGTTGCCAAAAGAATGTATCACCTTAGCATGAATAAATCATTTCCAAACCTGAGTCTATGTAGTCAATTTAAGCTAATGGTACTCCGCAACCAAATGACAATAACAACTCCTTACTAAATATCCTCTCTTTGATTCCCATGCCCAAAAGTCAGTATCATTACTCTGTCTTTGTTGGGGGATACTCAAGATAAGCATTTTATCCTTACCATTAAACATATCCAATACAACCTCTATATCCCATCTACCCCCACCTTTTCATTTTAAATTGATGTAAGCATTTTGAAAGGTTTGAGGTAGTATCGTCTCAAATTTACGATTTTGCTCATTTTCTAGCCAAGGATCCTCCCAATTTTTAACCATGAAACAGTTTTTCACCCTCTTACATCGCCAGATTGTTTGGTAAATTGGGATTTTATGAGAAGAAGCCAAATGACAAAGTTAAAGAGGCTTTGAGAAAGATGGGGTAGAAGAAAGCAAAGGATGAAGATGAAATACTTATCGAGGCCTAGAGAAGTTTGGGAGAGAGATGCGTCGAGCGGTTAACACGTTTCTTGAACAAGATTTGGAGAAATAACATTCCCTTATTTAATAACATCAATTGAACTTTAACTTCGATTGAACATTCCTTTATTTAATAAGGGTGATGTACAAGAGTGTGTTAACTATTGAGAGATTAAACTTATGAGTCACATCATATAACTTTGGAAGCGAGTGATTGAACAAAGTCTCCAAAGAAGGTTTCAAAGAAAAATTTCAATTTTATGGCTGGTCTCTCAACAACTGAGGTCATTCACCTTCTTAGGCAACTTGTGGATTATCTACTTAGAAAAGGCACATATAGGGTACCTTGAGAAGTCATTTAGTAGGCATATCACTTAAGTATATCAACATTATCATGGATATGTATGAGGGTTGTATTCCATGTGTCCGTACTAGTGTAGGGAGGATTGCAGAGTTCTCATTACTATCCGAGTGCACAAAGGATCGGTTCAAGTCCTTTCTTATTTGCTATATTCAGGGATGAACTCACAGAGTCAATTCAAGAAGATATACCATGGTGCATGATGTTCCCTGATGATATTGTGTTGATTGATGAGACAAAAATCAAGTGTTAAAATGGAGTTGGAAATATGGTGACAACTGCGAACACTGGAAAACAAAGGTTTCAGGTTGAGTCGAAACAAGACTAAGCATATGGAGTGTAAGTTTACTGGAGGTAGAAACAATGGTGACATTGGGATTACCTTAGATGTAGACTAAGGAGATCTCAGTCGGTTATATGTTCTGTTACATGAGCTCCATAATTCAGGACGATAAACTAGATGGAGATCTATCTCATATAATCAAAGTAGATGGATGAAATAAAAGAGTGCGTCGGGATTCCTATAATTTTATGTGATCGAGGGTAAGTTTTATCTTCAATTAAGCCTGAATTATTGTAAGACCTAGAGTGTTATGCGGTGAAACAATGTCACAATCAAAAGATGAGTTTGACTAAGATGTGCATGTTGCGTGGGATGTGCAGATATATTAGAAAAGATTGTTTAGGAACTAGACAATCCGACAAAATGTGATAGTAGCACCTATTAAAGATAAGATGCGAGAGTCTCTATTACGGTGCTTTCGCCATGTGTGTAGAAGACTAAATGCAACACTTGTTAGACGAATTGAGAGGTGGAGAGAGGAGACAAGAGGAAAGGGAGTGGATGACCTAACGTGGATTAAAGTGGTGAAGGATGATATGGTATTTTTGGGTTAGATGAGAGTATGTCTTCGGAGAGAACGAAGTGGATGGAGAATATATGTGTGGAGGATTAATTTTTTGACTCTCTTTCTCTCTATTTTTTACTTTTTATAATAATTATTTTAACTCTGATATCATATGTCGATTCATGAGTTGCTCTACTTCATTACAATGATCCATACGAAGTAAGAAGACATCCATGACATAATTAGGCATAGCATGGAGAACAGTCTTCAGTAAAACCACCTTGATAAAATCTTGTTATTCCATCCTTGAATAAGACAGATTATTAAATTAATACGGAGTATATTATTATTGTTATTATTATTACTATTCTTTTCGTTCCATTAACACTTCTTTTTCATTGCTTATAAATGAGTTTTTAATATATTTAGAAAGTCTGCTCATTGATCTTGGATATGTGTAGCACTCACGTGGGTCCCTAAAGGTGGTAAATATCACTCTAATGAGCAGCAATGTTTCACTTTAAGCCATTTTCTTCTGTTTTTAGTTGTATTTTATACTACGAAAAATGCATGACAGGTACTCCAAATTAATATTTGGAAATTGTTAATGCCCTTAGGGCATTTAATGGATCAAAAGAGGGAATATTTTTTCGATTGGAATTTGGCATGTAAAATAAATGAATAGAAATATGAAAAAAGTGCACTCCCATATTTTTCACTCAAGCCTTCCCTTATAAATTCCTTAACGAATTCCCCAAGGGCGCTTACTAATTTCCATTGTGAGTACTTTATATTGTTTTGTTATAACTATTCTTTGGTAACTGTTGAGTAAAAACTAAATAACAGAAACCTGCCCTCTAACAAATACCTAAAATGATTCCCCAATATGCAGCTGAGCAGTGACAGCAACTGAGAAGCTATTCCTTGACATTTATCGTTTTTGATGCATTTAGCCCCATAGACGCCATTCATAATTTTGACTTTTTCTAATCGCAGGGATTTGTCAAATAACAAGCTCTCAGGAGACATACCCGATAGTCTTGTTTCTTCTAGTTTGCAACTAATGTAAGTCATTTACTTCTTTCTTCTCATAAGTTAGTATGGTTATAAACCCTCCACAAGCTACTTGCTATTCAAATGAATCAGTTATAGTGTTTCTTGCACTGATGTGGTATGGAATACTTTTACTTGTTTAATTTAAATTTACTTTAAAATTAAGAAAAGTTTGAAGAAACCTGGTTCAACACTTCACTAGAAAAAGCACAACCTTTTTATTTTTATTTTTTTAAGGTAGCATTAAATCATGTGTGTGCATTTGTATATAATACATACCTTATGCACCTTTCTAAATCTTATACATGGGATCAGGTTATTAAATGGTAACTTACTAGATGGAGCAGTCCCACCAGAACTTTACTCAATTGGAGTCCACGGTGGAGCTATTGAGTATGTCATACCCTCTTCACCTCATTTATTATACATTTACTCAAGTATATGTTATTTCCTCTACTATTATGTCTTACTAGTATTTCACCTGTGCGATGCACGGGAGAATACTTTTGTTCATATATAAAATACAAAAAGACAGTTTATAAAATTACACAATGAAAAACATTTTATAATAATATGAAGGACAATGTTGTTATTATACAAAAAAGTAATGCAAATAGAGTAAAAAATGGCATGATAACAAAAGAAGAGCTCATTTTCACGCATATATAATAGAAGTGTAATAACATTCAGAAATGTCATATGGATAGTATACATTTATAACATATTTTTTAAGAAATTGCTTTTATTTAGAAACGCTACTGACTTTTGTAGTTTAACACCTCCTCTAACAATTACGAACACAATATTAATACACTGTCTATGAGTGATTTATGTTTAACACATCCTCTATTTTAGAATGGAATACATTTTGAGATGATAAAATTTATTCAGCTTATGTTAATCCTAGGACCAGTTGTTTGCACATATTAGGAAAGATATGTCATTCATTGCATTTGGTTGATCATTCTTTGTCTTTCTTTCCTCTTATCTTTCTTCTGAATTCTAACCCAACTACCACCTTTTTATACTCCAGAAAAAACTACCACCTTTTACAAAAATTCTTCAATAGCAAACTCTTTCATTGTTTTCTCCCTTAATTTTTTTATCTCGTCAAGAAATAAGTTTTATATAGACTTGAACTTTAAACTTTCTCTTCTAATTTTCTCCCTTTAACCCTTTTCTCCATTCAAGAACTTTAATCTACACTTGTTCAATAATCTTTCATAGTTTCCTCCCTTTAAATGTGTAATGCCCTCTTTTACTAAGACTTAGTTAACCACGTTGTTTTGGGAACAAAATATGGGAAGTATGATATAGTAGAATTAGCACCATTTTTAATATGTCCTACGTACTACGAAATACTATTTAGTACTCCATCATTTCTCTTTTTAAGAGACATGATTACATGGCATTTGAACAAATTTAATTTCCAACCCTCACATTCTTGATTCTTCATACCCATCATTTCTCTTTTTAATAGAATCTCAACTCTCAAGAGTCAAGATGACTCTTGTTTATTGCATCCATGGAAATGCGTAGTCAACTGGTAAGGGAGCAGTACATCTTCCCTTGTCACTTACGTGAAGCACATTAGCACATATATCTACACTCTCACGTTATGTAGAAAAGGCACGCCACTTCAGAGATCACGGACATCCGGTGAGCGGCTTCAGACGACGCCTCACCCTTCCCTTTTTTTCTGGCTATCAATGGCTATGAAGAAGAGATTACAGGTCAACGTCGAGTTCTGTTCATCCCCGCATCGCACATTACCTTCGTTGTCACTGTGGGACACCCAGCCCGGACACCCTGTTTCAGCGGTCTCTGCTGTCTTTGCTGGAGTACATGCAATCATGAAGCAACCAATTCCATCATGAATGGTCGGTTCCCTCTCATTTGTTGTCTGGGGACGATGGTTTTCGTGGTGGACCCAACTTGTGTCTGGTTTTTCGAGAATTCTTGTAGACATAATGTTAAGATTTTAGGTACTCAACAAACCAACAGTTAGATACGCTGATATATATACACAAACATTTGAAGTTAGTAGATTAATTCATTTATTAAATACTCCAATCCCAAGATATGCTCAATCTGCTAATGTTAAAGGTACTGCATATTGAGAAGCGGAAATGGCTGCTTTCTCATTATTACTCCCTATTAAATGCTGCCTATTTTATTTTTATCGAGAGCATATATCTTACAGAAACTCCTCGACTGAAATGCTCAGAGCTGCACTTACTCAGTAATTGAGGTTGCATATTTACTCAAGAAGTGTTTTGGCGGGATCTTCCTAAAGAAGATTCTTTTTGCTATTATAAATTAATAGATTATCGTTACTGCTATACAAACGCTGATCCTCCACTGTTCCTAGGCCAGTAGGTGTTTAACACTCATTTAGTTAGATTATTGAAATATTGATCTCTTGAACTCTTGATATTCTAATGAAAATCCTTCTCTTTTGCAGCCTTTCTGATAATAAAGGGCTATGTGGTGTGCCTTCTTTGCCGGATTGCTCTATTTTTTGGGATAAACATGGTCTATCTGCGGCTGGTATAATTGGCATCTCCATTGCATCTCTAGTTGTCTTTTTGCTTCTGCTGTGTTTGGCTTATTGGTGCTACAAGCGGAGGCAGAATGACTATGACTTTGGTCTACCACATGAGCTATTGTGTAAGTAGTTCTTAATTGATTGCAAATCTCATATATTATTCCTCATGTCTTGTTATCCATGGAAATAAATATCCAGCCTTATCAGCAAGGTAGATAAGGTGATAAGGCTGCTCAGTCAACTCATCAGATAAAACTGTTATCGAAGATACAGCTGGCTTTAGTTAGGCTGTTAGCTTTTGTGAGTTTGTAGTAGCTAGTCTCTTGTATATAGCCATGTTCGATGGAGTAGGGAGGGCAGCTTTTGTGAGTTTGTTGACTGAACAAACTCTCTCTTGTTATTCATCTATTCTTCTGTTCTATAATTCGATTCCTTTTCTGAGCTGTGGAATCCTACTTTAGTCAAGGTCCTTGATCAATGTTAGTCAAGGTCCTTTACTAATGTAGGAATTCCAAGCTCAGAATAGGAATCAAACTATAGAACGGAAGATCAAATGAAGAACAAGAGAGAGTTTATTCAGAAAAGATATTGACAATCTGCCCTCCATACTACACCGGGCATGGCTATATACAAGAGACTAGCTACTACAAACTAACAAAAGCGAACAGGCTAACTAAAGCCAGTTGTAACTTCCATAAGAGCTTATCTGTTGAGTTGACTGAACTGCAACCTCGCCTTATCTGCCTTGCTGACTCAGCTGGATATTTATTTCCATGATAACAATCCTTTCCCCTTAAGATAAGCTTAACCTCAAGCTTACAATGGAGTAGCTATAAAGTCTAGATACCTCTTTACAATGTCATCATAGAGTTCCCAAGTAGCATCCTCCTCATCTCCATTCACCCATTGTATCAACCAGTAAATTGTTGCTGCATTTCCCCCTTTTGGCTATCTTCCTGTCTAATACCGCTAAAGGTTGCACCTTCAGTAGTTCTTGCTCATTCAGTATAGCTAAGTAGCTTGCAAGAGGAATCGTCCCATGATGTTTCTTGAGCTGAGAAATATGAAAAACAAGGCGTATTATGGAATGTTCAGGAAGGTGCAGTTTATATGGCACCTTGCCCACTCTCTTTTGAAATGCAAAAGGTCCAAATAATATAGAAGCCAACTTTTGATGTCCCCTATAAACAACAAAGTGTTCTCTATAGGGTTGCAATTTGACATTGACCCAATTTGTCTCCAAGAATTCCTTGTCGGTCCGATGTTTGTCAGCTTGAATTTTCATCCTGTCCTGGGCTCTTTTCAAGTGAAATTTCAGTAGCTTATTACACTCTTCTTTGGCCCTTCAACTCCTATTAACTGCCTCAATTGCGCTATCTCCAGCCACATAAGGATAATGTATCTCCGGAGGCTGACCATATTCTTGGGTTTCGGGCAAAAAACGCAGAGGAAAAACAAAAATTAACTCCGAAAATAACCGAACAGATCTGAGGTACTTACATTGCAAACGGAAGAACATACAACAAGATATGATCAAATCAAATACCTAGCGTTCTCTTCTCTCTCTCTTGGTTTCTATCTGATAGATCCGACAATTAACTCTGATTTTCGTGGCTGACCTTGGCCCCATTTATAAGAGTAGGAACTAGGAGTTTTATAGCTAGTAAAATCCTCCTGCGGGCCCTAGCCCAAGACCACTCAAAATCCCATTTTGAATTGGGTTAATCGGACTATTTCAATGTTATAGACAAACATTAATGATCCATATCAATAAGCATGTGACCCAGGTTTATATCATTATGACTATCCAAGATATATAAATGTGTACTGAATCTGAGATAACCTTTTAATAATTAATTTGTGCTAATAATTCCCTTTTGTTAAGTGATATCTTAATTTGTGCTAATAACTCCTTTTTGGACGGAATCATCATCTAATGGTAAGATATATTTTAACTTCTAACTTTGTTTAGAACCTGTATTCTTCAAACTCCACAATGCCCCTTGGTATGGAGATCTGCAAAGTAGTGTAATCTTTGGAGTGCCGGAAAATGTAGTACTTAAATTGGATCTCAGTTTTCCGAGTTCCGAAGCTTACAGGGATCTTTTTTAACCATACTAGGACGGAAAAGAACAATTTTTTGTATACATAAAGATTGTGCACACTTGGCGCACATTTTTGGTACTCATGTAACTAGGGTTGTACATATTGTCTATGTGCACAGACAATTACGAGCCACATGTGTACAAATTTCGTGTACAGAGATTTTTTCCGGAAAGGAACCCACCAATTTTAGTACTACGTATTATACAACATTGGGCAGATGTCCTTTTTAATTAGTGATACCATATTAGTTATTAAAAGATTACGGCACTAGCTATGTAAGTAGTATATAACAAACCAATATAGGGAGTATATTTTAGCTTTCTGTTGCTCGAACTCCAGCTCGTAAACATACAAGTACCGAAGTACGTATGGGGTGTTTACAAAGCCTGGGCTCAGAATTCTTGGGATAACTTTTTACATTTGAAAAGAAATTTTAATTTCACGTTTTCAAACACTTCTTCAAATTTCATGAAATTATTAGATGTAAAAATCTGTAGGCTTCTATTATTCGTCCTATCAACTTGATTGTTTAGGATGAAATCACAAAATATGTTATAAACGAAAATTATAAAATAGAGTACTAAATAATACTACCGCATTTGCAAATTAATTTGCAAAAATGATATATGTGATTGACTAAAAATGAAATTATTTATTCCCTGATACGGAGTAATTTTTAAGTTAGTGTTAGTTATTAAACTTTTAAATTTATATATCTGGAAATTAGAGTAAAAGTTCTACTGAATCAGATAAAGAATCAAATTTGAAAGTGATTATAAATTGGTACTCAAAATTATAGAATAAAATGGAATTGTATTGATCAAGAAATGTAAAGTTGAAAATCATTTTAAGAGGGAGGAAGTATGTAATAACTTAACAAATTTAATTGTTTGCATACATGTATGTGTGTGTTACCTTAAAAGGACAAGTGCTTCACCCCTTAGTTTGGGTAGGATAAATCACTATGGAGGGTTGGTGTTTTTTAAATAATGAGCATTTATATAACTAAAATAAAAGTAGTGAAAATATTTACTTTTACTAGTAAGTAGTGTTATTTTCATATAGATCATTGTAATGCTCAATTTTAATAAGAGACCGTATTGGTATGTTCGCAGCCATGCCCATGAGTCATAAAACCCCATTTTTAACTTTGTAATCGTTTTATCCATGTCTTTGTGATTTTTTTTGCTAACCGCAACCTCTATCTATAAGTCAAAATTTTCATTAGTTTATACGTCTTCATTCAGTCATTTAAATTTTTTCTTGCAATCCAGCACCGTCAATATATTTACTCAGTAAAGTGTTTTTTATTAGAGACCTACTTTTAATATTACACATTAATTTTTTCCAATTTTTTTATGAATAATTATAATTTCACAAGTCAAACATTCCAATGTATAAATAAATAAATTTGGAGTTAAAGTTTTTTGGCACTTCAAATCTATTTTTGGAAAACATATTTGAAAGATGTTTGTAAAACAAAAAATTTAACTACTAAATTTTAACACTTGATTACTGGTTGTTGAATATCTCTCGTACCTTCCCTTGCTCAAATTCGATGGGTGGTTTGGCTTTGCTATTGTCAATTGTCATATATATGTCTTCTCAATGAAAGTAAACATGTGTGCTGTTTTCAAGGGTGCAGAAAACAAAAGGATATGTGAATTGAAAAGAAAGTTTAAGAGAATATTAAAAGCTGGTAAGTAATTGTAAATGAACAAGAATCAATTTTTTCCGCATGAAATATGTTTTCAAGGTCCCGTTTGGAAGTTTTCAGCTTTTTTTTTTTCAGTTTTCAGCCTATTTCTTTTTAAAAAATCAATTCGGTTGAGAGTTTGTAAAATTATGTTCAGAGATTTCATATTTGTTGTCGACTACTCGACTTTGCCATATAATAGAACTAGCTAATAAGGAGTAACTACTTTGCAACATCTATTTGTATATTAATATACAATATAAATTAATATATAAAATATATCACGTAGTATATATAATATATATGATATAATATACAGGAATATTCCTGTCCGGAAATTCCGGACAGGAGGGCCGTCCGGCCTCCTCCTTTTGGGGGCCTTCCCGCTGTTATTTTTTGCACAAATTTTTTGTTTAGGTTCCTCATCAAGTCTAGTTCATCCATACCAAATTTCAGCCACAAGTTCAATCGGGAAGGTCGTCAAATGATTTTTGCAAGTTAACTTGCAAAAATCATTTGACGACCTTCCCGATTGAACTTGTGGCTGAAATTTGGTATGGATGAACTAGACTTGATGAGGAACCTAAACAAAAAATTTGTGCAAAAAATAACAGCGGGAAGGCCCCCAAAAGGAGGAGGCCGGACGGCGCTCCGGTCAAGAAATTCCTGACCGCAAGATTACTCATATGATATATATGATATAATATATATATATATATATATATATATATATATATATATATATATATATATATATATATATATTAATATAGGGTAAGGTTCCAGTGAGAAGAGCCCTTTAGGTGAGAAGTGAGAATGAATCTCAACCGTTGGATTCGACTAAGTTGCAGTAAAAGACACTTCATGATGCACTGAAATATGCAATCTAGCACGGTGGCATTTCTGTAAATACTTCTGAAAAATCTGTATTACACTTGTCTAGTGCAACATGAAGCTATTTCGGTGCAACGCCATTAAATTTTAGTGCAATATGAAACAATTTTAGTGCAACACTGCAAAAATTTAAATGTTACTGCAACATTAAGCTATTTTTAGTGCAAACACGTAAATCTAATGGTTGAGATTCATTTTCATTTCTCACATTAGATGCATTTCTCACTTGAACCAAAATCTATTAATATATATATATATATATATATTAATATATACTCCCTCCGTCTCTAAATTAACTTCTCACTTTCCTTTCCGGGCAATCCCGAAATTAACTTCACACTTCAAAACTTTCCTTATTTGGCAAATAATCTACATAAAGTGCCAAACAGTGTCAAACAGTGCAAAACAATGCACTCCATAGTAAAGTCAAATTTATTTTCTTAATCTGTGTGAAGTCAAACTGTGAACTTAATTATGGGACGGAGGGAGTAATAAATACCGATTGGTAAATGTATATGAGGACCGGGAGATATTATTAGTTACTCCCTCCGTCCCATTTTACTTGTCTTACTTTTCTTTCTGTGTTGTCCCAAAATAAGTGTAAGCTTTCCCTTTTTGGAAAGAAATATGTGGTTCATAACATTTTACTTTATTATACTCAAATTTCAACCACAACTTTTACCTTTTCAACCACTTTATTAAAAATTGTGTCAAAATCAGAGACACATAAAATGAGACGGAGGTAGTATAAAGTAATTTAACATGAATAATCAAAGTTTCACTATTTCTTCATGGTTTGACAACTTTTGATTTATATTAGAAGTACAACTGGGTGGAGACTTGAAGTTAGGATTATATTTTGTTTATTTTTCGTTCCCGTAACTCTAGTTTCAGTTTAATAATCATGGTTTGACCGTTTGACCATTTTTTATTTATTTTGGACAACTTTTACTCTATTTTTAGTTGTTGAGCATATAAATTGCAATTGCAAATGTTAAGCACAAATATTCAAACATTGTCTCATACTTGAGCTCGAGTTCAAACCCAACCTTTCGAACGAATCGAACTTGTAACTTTTTAATTAAAGAATCAAAATTATCGAGCCAATCGAGCCGAATCAAGCCATCTCAATACTTGCGAGTTGAGCTCGAGCCCGGATTTTTTAAGCTCGTACGTGCCGAGCGAGCCAATACAATATATTTCGAACTCGAGCCTACATAGATTTGGGCTCGGCTCAGCTCAGCTCAGCTCATTTGCACCCCTAATGATGATGATGATTTGAGGGTTTTAACATGTTTTTTATTGTATGTAAAGATATAAAGATATCTTGGGTTAACTTTGCAAAGAAGTAATTACATCAAGACCGCTGAAATATATTAAGATAACATTTAATATGTTATGGTATCACCCTAGAAAATGTGTGCCATTAAGGCATTACAAAAATTTATATATTCACTGAAAATTAAAAAGGATCAACTTAATGACCTGGAATTATATTAAGGTCGTAATATGAGTTGTTACGGTTTTGCATTTTTTGTGATTATTAGGATGTTTATATTTGGAGTGAATATTTTTGGACTGGACTGGTATGACATGTTTTGACAGCTGTGGTCTCATACTCTAATCTGATTTAATTTGATTTGTTCAAGTCTAGTTTAGTACGAAGTATGTTAATATGTGTATTTTGTTATTTTCTAAGTCAGATCCTGTCTATTTAAGTACAGTTTGATTCAATTTGTTTAAGTTTGTCAATTCTGATTTAGTATGATCTAATTTCATCTGGTCTATCTGATTAATCCAAGTTAAATTATTATTACTCCCTACTCTTTCCATATTATTTTACCGTATGATCTACTGCATTATATTTGTGACCACACAGTGTGTGTACATTATAATATACGGAGGACTACATATATAAAGATACAGACTAGAGAGTATTAATGATACCTGGCTCCAACGGATAAGATATACGAAGTACGAGTATGAAAAGATCAGCTTTGGAAGCCTTCACATATCACAATGAACCCAATGATGCCACCATATACTACGTATGTTTACACACATAAAACACCACTCACTGCTGGCATACGTGTTGGAACTTTGCCAGCCATAATATTGACCTTTTTTATAATATATTTATAATTATAATTTTATAATATATTCCCCTCCTCAGACATTATTTGGCTTTTTATATCTATGTGTTTATTTAATCAATTGGGTACGAGGACGGCCAATTTTTTTTTTTATTTTGTAATTTAAATAAACTCTCTTGGATGATGTTCAATAGAAATACTACGTATTTAACTTGAAGACGTGGAGATACTTTATGAATTTATTTTAACTTGTTCAATAGTTACTTTAACTTTAAATACTTTACTTTAACTTGTTCAATACTAGTAGTATTTTACATTTAAATACTTTGCTTTAACTTGTTCAGTAGAATAACCAATATAGTTATAAAAAAGAAAAAGTAAAAAAACCAATATAGTTGGGGGGTGAGGGAATACTTCAAATTGGTTCTTGATTTTACATGTGATAAAACTACAAGTATTTTGGTTGGTGGAAAAGATATACTCCGTATTTGTGGATAGTTAATGTTCTTTACCTATCTTTTGTGCTCTCATGGCCCTAGTGTGTGATTGGACACTAGAAGCATATGTTCATGCATGCCTTCAATTGTGAAATTTGTAACCACAAAAGTAATAAATTGTCTAAGTCATTCCATATTGATAAACTCATAAAAGTACTTTAAAATACAGCACAACATAACATATACTGTACTGTACTGTAATACATTGTGTTACTTCTAGGTTGACATTTTAGACGAAACCTCAAGTATTAGTATAAACTATACGTTTTACCATTCCCAATCTCTACTTTTAGTCATGACATATGTGTGTGTGTGTTTGTACTGCTTTATTGACGTCAAAATTTGCGAAATGTATAACAGCACTATCTGCGAAGAGGAACCGATACCAGCGGCAAAAATCGTTGATGGCTCTAGAGATGGAAAGCCAGCACGCGAAAGGATTCATGCCGACGTACAACCATACAATCTGAAGATAACACATACATTACTTTCTAAAAGGAGCCTTGAAAAAGTTCTTATTTTTGACAGAATTAATGTGGAGGTGCAGGGATATAATAGAGATGCGTGGAGAAGTAGCTGGGGGGTTTAAAACATTAATGATTTGAGAGGGGCTTGGATTTGCACTATCTCCAGCAATTTTGTACTGAAAAAATGGGGTCGGAGAGAAGATTAAAATGTATGCGTGTGGTTTAATGCAATGTATGTAATGTATGTTAGTCTGTATCGGATTCTAAATAACCTAACCCCTTCCCCATTCATGAATGTGGAAAAGGCAAATGATGTATCATTGTATCTAAACAACTACTTACCAAACAAATATAATCCTTGGTTGTCATTGTATGCAGCAGGTATAGATCAGATTGATGCTCTAATTTAAGATTCTTTGTTTTGTTTCCTTAGACTCACTCATATTTCAATTCATCCCAAGTACTAAACAAGGCTTCTCTCTCCTGTGTAATGGTACTTTGTACTCTAATACATGCAAAAACTTATACGGAGTACTAGTATACCCATCATGTGCCATGTGGGCAACATCAGCTTTAGCTATTTAACCACATGAGTTGCACCTGGAATCCTGGATCATTCATTCACTGCTGGTCCTTCAATCTTCAATTCTGAAATTTGTGTCCATCATCTTTGAATGTGCGATTGAATGTGTGATTAATTTAAGGCGAAAGCAGCTAAGACAAACAATTGAAGAACTAGACTCTGAGTTGAAGGACTAAAGTAGATAGACGTTTTGTTCATCTTATTCTTTGAACTTTTTAAGTAACTTTAATTTCATTTTTAGTTTAATCAGGTTGATTAAGATCAAGAAGAAATAAAGAGTTGAGTGAGAAACATTCAGATAAAATCACATGGATTGAGTTATTATTATTGTTATTATTCTAGTTATTGTTGTAGGTATTGTTATTGTTATTATCATTATTGTTATGAGTAGTACAATACTATTGATGTTTTATACTACGTAGTTGTTTTTGTTATGTTATTGCTAGATTGTTTTTACTCGCACCATTTTGTACTAAAATGGTGTAAACATCACATCATACAGTATTTTATCTCCAACAGTTTACACTTTACACCATTTTCATCACTAAAAAGAAATATTCCCTTTTAATTAATTTTACTAACTTTTTACCATTATTATATTTAATTATGCCAAAAAAATTAAAAAACATAAATTATACTAATATCATAAAATGCTCTTTCACCCATTTGTTTAACTCATTTTCGAGAGGGAGAGCAGAAATAATATGCTAATAAAGTAATACGGAGTATTAGTTTCTTCTCCGATGTATGAAAAAATTAATATTACGGAGTACTATTTACTATATTATACATTTATACCGTAATCTCTTACCCATACCTTTCAAAAAAAATCTTTTACCATACCGTTCCCAATTAAACACTCCTTGTATGGTAAACAAATGATGCCTCCATGATCTTTAAGCAGACACCCCAATTAAAAAAAAAGATGACGCAAGGAATGGTGTGCGTCATATATGGCGTAAAGCCAAACCCCCTCCCCCAATTTGGTGAAATGGTGAAAGAGACGGTGTAGCTATTGGAGCAAAAAATTGGCAAATCCACCATTTTGGTGTAGGAAATTATTAAAAGATTTGTCCAACACCGGAAAGTTATGAAACAATTGAACATTATATAAGGTTTTGGGCTACTCCTCCTATCATGTCAACCAAAAGATGGAACCCCGGATCTTAATAGAAATGGTGATTCAGTGATTGTTGGATATGGCCTTACAGAGTGTTATTTTGATTTTCTCAAAACCAACTAAATCGACCAACACAGTTTCAATTATTGGTGGAAATATTATTGATCATGTATTTTGCAAAAATGAACAAAATAGTACTCCGTATTGTGTGTTGTGTGTTTTGAAAAATATTCTTCCCACTTTCTTTTTTCACCCGTAACAAAAAAATTCTCATTTCTAAATCTTCCCATCATTACCCTCAATAATTCTAAAAATAATACACTATTACAACTACTTTTTTGGATTTATCCTACATTCCATCACATTATTCATCTATCTTCCCATCGTACCCTCAATAATTCATATCCTCTTTCACTACTATTCTTAATCTACCTACTTTTGAAATGTGCATGTTTTTTAGTTACGGATAAAATAGCAGTTCTGCATTTTAAAGAAAACACGGATTATAAATAACTCAATAAGAGCATAATTGAAGCAACAATTGTACTGGACGGATTAAGACACAAGCCACCACCAACACTATCAGTAGTAATAATTCTACAATAGCAGAATAAAGTTAGAATTTATGACTTGTACGGGTACATTAGTACTTGCAATTCATGGAATAATTAAATAATCGTACCTTAATCTTGTTGTAGTAGTACTTCCGATTGTCTTATCTTTAGAAAGTCACAATACTAAACTAAACATTGATGTGTACGACTAAAGTTATGTTTGGATGATCATTTCAATTCAAAATAAGTTGGAATTTGATTAATTTAGTCAATTAATTGACATGTTGTTTTATTTGGATGAAGGGTTAATCTTGGCTGAATTATAAAACTAATGAGCTGATTTGAAATGTTACTAATCGTAACGTATTAGTTCAACGCTTTAATTTACGCTTTACTTTACTACAAACTTGTTTTAACCTTTTTATCTTATTTATATTATTATAAAAACATATACTTTTATGATAATTTTATATTTTTAGTTAATATTTCAGCTATGTTGCTGAACAAGTCTACTTCATTTAATTAGAATTTCTATTTTAACAATTTTTATCTAGTTCCAGACAATAATCTCTAATTAAGCCATAGGGTGTGTATGGGTAATAGCGGCTTAGGTCCAATTCTCTGTTTTATCAAATGAAAATGCAGCATTTTGTAGCCTTTAGATCGAATCCGCCAACAAACAAACATGGCCATAAACCCCGATTCTTCTGTTCATTTTTTCAAACAAAACCTTACGCATCGGCTCAACTTTTTCATTAACTTTTTAATTTGCAATAACTCTTATGATTTATGATTAATACAAAACTATTTTCTAACAAAATTAGCTCAAACTTATTGCGAAGATTTTCTAATCTTCTGTGCGTAACGAAGAAGTGACCTTGTAAAGAAAAATCTCAACTTTGAGGAATTTAATTTAACTTGTTGATAGTTTCATAAAAGCAATTAGGATGTTTTTATTTGAACTGAATAATCCTGATCTGATAGATCTATTTTTGTTTGTTAAAAATGTGATATGGTCTGGTTTATTTAAGTCTGACTTATTCAGATCCATTAAATCTGATGTGATATGTTCTGGTCTGATCTCGGATTAAAATCGGTAGAATTAAAAACATTCTTTACTCCTTAAGAGCATCTTCAATGGTACAATGTGCACGGTGCACACGTGGCATGAGAGATGACCACATAAATATTAGTAAATAAATTATTTCTCTCCTTATTTGAATGATTTTATACAGTTTTGGTAAGTTATTCTCCACAATGTCAAGGAGACTGTCTAATGTTGACATTGCAGGGAAAAACTTACTAAAATTATATAAAATCATTCAAATAAGGAGAGAAATAATTTATTTGCTAATAATTATGTGGCTATCACTCATGACACATGTGCACTATGAACATTATAGCATTGAAGATACTCTAAGCTGCAACTCAATATTATAAAGCATTTAAAGATTAAAAACCACAAATATTAATAAAAAAAATGATTAAAACCACAAACTATTTAAACTTCTCTACTCCTTCGTACGAGTATAAAATAAATAAAATAACAGTACGGATGTTTGGTTGCTATTTTTAGAAATTAAAAAAAAAACAATAAAAAATCAATAGAAAAACAAATACGCGCTATATATTAAATAAATAAAACAACATCAATAATAACATGAGATTGGGGGAGACGTGGAGAAAAGGCATCAACGTGTAAAGTTAATTTCCTTACAAATCTGATCAACTGACAAACACATTCCTGCTGCTGCACCTGCTCTGCCCTCTTTCCCATGAACTGGCCCGGCCCCGCTTTCCCCCCTCCCTTTCTCTTCATTCACTACAACATAATAATGGACGTAATTCGATCACCAAATGCTTTTCTCGTCATATTGTGTTTGTCACGTTTTTATTTTGATCTAATTCAAAACTATGTGTTTCCTAACATGTTCACATCTATTTTCAAATCATTCATATTTGAAAAGTTACGTACCTCGTTCCTCAGTCCGAACAAGTAATTTCATGGTAACTGAGTGAGTCACTCGTTGGACTGAGTTCTCATGTTCAATTCTCCACCGTAGCAAAATAAAAGTTTCATCTACTAAGCTAGGATTTAGAATGTGTGGTTCCACCCTTTTGGATTGGAAAGTTGTGTATCAATTTTACTCCGTAATACACTTGGTAATACGGAGTACTATATTTTAGCTTCTTTCGTACTCCGTATATTAGAAGATTTAGCCAATTCATTTATTTCACTCTCAAAGTTGGAATTTCAATAAATTCGTCTGATTTTGCATGAGCCATTTTTTTTCAAATACTCCGTAGTAAAAATCAAGGTGTTTGAACTTATAAAGTAAGCGGTGTCTCGAACTTGATTCTACTGCTGCTTATTTTTTAAAGCAGAAGCAGAATCAGTTTTCTGAAACCAATTCTGGGAGTAAATTAGAGCACCAGAATCACTTCTGCACTTTCACCCAAATACTCCAACTTCTGTTTTTGCTCCCTGAAAGAGCGGCAGCAGTTTTAAGAATCAGATCCAAACACCCCTACATTTACTCTTATGTCGCTCAAGAGTCCAAATTTCAATAAATTCAGTTGATTCTAACGTTATCAAAGAGGCTCCGAGTTTTGCACGAGCCATTCCTTCAAGTACTCCGTAGTAAAAATCAAGGTGCTTGAACTTTTAGAGTATATTTACTCTTACATTGCTCAAAAGTCGGAATTTCAATAAATTCAACTCATTTTAACGTTATTCAACTCATTCTTTCAAAAACTCCGTAGTAAAAATCAAGGCGTTAGCAGTTTGCACTTTTAGGATATATATACGGGGTATATTGTACTCTTACATTGCTCAAAAGATGAAAACTTATAAATGCATCGAAGTGTTTTCTTTTCAAATTATCATACTTTCATCGGTTCATGTAGTTCATTCATAAAATACGGCTTAATATAGTAATCGTAATTGCAAGGTGATTTTCATGGTGTAAAATGGTTTTAAACGCATTATTAAAACTCAATTTAATCCCATTTTGATCTTATTTTAATATTCAGTACATCGTAAAATGAAATCTCGTGTTACTTTTGTACTAGGTACAAAGTGTGATGTTTTCTTTTGGACTGAAATTTGTTTGTCTGCAGTGGCGGAGCTAGAAATCTATGGTTAAGGGGACCGGCTCTTAAAAATTTTACATTGT